TATATTCTCGAAAATGTTTTAAATTTTTTTGCGTCGAGGGTGCTTGGAGTGGGCCCCACTGCACAATTTGTTGTATTATTTAGCAAAGTTCACTTGAGCGTGTAGTTGAAATGAAAGTGGGCATGGTCCAGGCGCCGAAGGGCGGGGGGCTGACGGATAAGCCGTGTCGGCAGTTTGCCGGAAATTGAGGCAGGCAAAAAATATACGAAAAAAGAAGAGAGGAAAATATTTAACAACGAGGGCCAGAAGAAATTGTTGCAGTTGCAGGTGCAAAAGTGGAGCTCGACCACTCAGCCCCTCGGCTCATCCCGAAAATTTCCGTACGCTGTAAATATAAAGCATAAAATATGCAGCAGACGCACTCAAAAAATTTTTTTTCCTAAATTTTAGAAAATCGCCATAAAATGAAATTTTTTCTTAATTTTAGAAAATTTTCTGAATTTTAGAAATTGTTTTCTTGAATCTAGGAAAAAAGACCATAAAAACAGAATTTTATGAAAAACCTTTCTAAAATTTAGAAAAATGATTTTTTTTCTTAAATCAATGGTGTTTTTTTCTAGTTTGCTCTCCAAAAATTTTTCTTAAATTAATGGCGATTTCGCCATTAAATTAAGAAAAATGTACTTCAGCCCTTCCTATAATCTAGAAAGTCGCCATAAAAAATACGGTAAATTTTTCTAAATTTTAAGAATTTTTCTGAATTAAAAAAAATGTTTTCTTGAAAACAGAAAAGTAGAATTAGAAAATCACCATAGATTTAAGAAAAACTTTTTGTATTTCTTTTATGCTTCTCACTCTTTCTTCGAAACGAAAAAGAAGAAGACAAGGGGTTAGTCCGCGGCGCGTTGCGACGACAGTTTTTGGCGTATGTATGTATATGTTTATGTGTGTTTGTGCGTATGATCGAGAATTTTCTTGTGCGTAGCTGTAACTTTTATTGCGTTGTTGTTTTGGAAATGCAGTCTCTCGCGAGAGAGTTGCTTGCGTTGCGCTGCATTTTGAACTCTTGTGCTCAGTTTTGGATGAGCATTCAAAGTAATAAGTTTGTGTTGAGCCCATTTAAGAAAGTTAAAGTGCGATCCCTCTAAGAGGCAATTAATAGGTAAGCAATTTAAATAAATTTAAATATAAATTTGGTAAGTGTGTGAAAATTTATGGTAAGCAAAGGGCATACTATTGCAGGCCGCAAATACCATCCTTCTCTAATATTAATTTTTATTTTCGATTGCAGGAATAATTTCAATTTCAGGTATTGTTGATAATTTGGCAGTAAGTAAGTAAATTTTAATAATAGGTAATATATTAAATACCTACTTAATATTAATATTAATACTTTTTATCTTTTTTGTTTTCTTTTCTTTTTTCTTTTTTGTTTAGGAAATATTTTTAATGTAATTTTTATCTTTTTTTGTTTTCTTTTCTCTTTTTTCTTTAGGAAATATTTATTATCTTATTTTTATCTTTTTTGTTTTGTTTTCCTTTTTTGTTTAGGAAATATTAATAATTTTCTTTTCATCCTTTTTATTTTTTTTCTCTTTCTTGTTTAGGAAATAAAATAGTAAAATAAATATGTATACATTTTATTAAAATAAATAAAATTTTCTGAAAATAAAAAAAGTCCTTTCTTATTTTAAGAAAAAAAAATCTATTTTCAAGAAAAGTACTTTCTGGATTTAAGGAAATTTTTCGCAATTTTATGGCAATTTTTCTTGATTTTAGAAAAGTATTTCTGCTTTTCAGAAATTTTTTTCTAAATTTTAGAAAATTCCTTTCTAAAAAATACGGTAAATCGCCATCGACTGAAATTCATGGCGAATTTCTTGATTTAATGGCGATTTCAGGCTGTTTTTTTTTTGAGTGCGTGAGACAGGCTTTTAAAATATTGCTTAAATTTTTATATGCGAACGGGGAGCGGGTTTCAGCTGAAGGCAGGATTTAATTGGAGTGGCCGCCAGCGGAGATGCATTCGCCTGTGCCTGTCTGCTTTAAATTAATTTTCATTTAGCCAATCAATTTGCATTTTCCCCGCTGTCAAATGGCTCCAAATCTCCTGACAAACGCAGATGGATATAGATGGACACACACAAGCTATCTAACCAACTATCTATATATCGCAGGAAATGCAAATCAAATTCAATGCTGTAAAAACAAGTGCAGGAAATCTCGATGGGAGGTGAAATGAAAAACGTTTGGCAGTTGGAAAAGCATGTCAAGCGACTAAATTACCTTTATGCTGGGTGCCACTCACTCAGCCCGATCGCTTAAGTTTCCTTCTTATTCTTCTTTCGTTTTCCGCTTTTCTTCCCTCATGTTTATCGATTTCGCCGAACGACAGTTTTTCCAGCGCAATTTTCGCGACGGTCTTTCCATTTCTTCTCCTGTTTCATGTTGCTGACTTTGCTTTGTTTGCCGACTCAACCGCAATTCATTTCATTTCAATTGCCCCACAAAATAAAAAAAAAGAATCACTTATGTGTGAGTGTGTTTGTGTGCTGCACTTCCGGTTCCTGCTGTTCCTGGACTGTCATTCGTCCTGGCTGCGTCTTTTTGCCTGCTTTCTCTGCATTATGCATGTTGCTCGCAAATTTAATGTGATTTACAATTTAGACGATGTGCAGACATAAACGACACACAACACCCAAGGAGAGGAGGCCAACCAAAATGCTCGAGGGTCATGAACTAAGTTTATTGTGCACATTTAAATGAAATTGCTGCGCTCAATTTATACGCTAAGCGCCCGAAGGCATTGCCAGGTAACTTGCAATGAAAAAGTGAATATAAAAAAGAGACGACTGGCAGTGTGCATTTACCCAGTCGAAAATTTGAATACACTTACAGCCATTCAAGCTGAATAGAAATATTATTGCAAAACATAATAGAAATTATTAAATAAAAAAGGAAAAATAAAATATTCTATTTTTCACAACCAATTTAAGTTTAAATCTACAAACAATTCTCATTTTGAATGATTTAAAATGCATTCGAGAGCTAAAGCACTTTTTAAGAGCGTAAAAAAGTCGTGGAAAAAAATAAAAATATAGCCAGAGGGCAAAAAAACATTCAACCAACTTCACACCGACTCCACTCCATTTCCCTGGACTCCACTACCACTACCTCCATCGCTTATTCATTTCATTTCATTCCGTTCGGTTTGGTTCGGTTAGGTTTTGTTCTCCTCGTATTTTCCCTGCTGCTCGACCACCTTGTTTTTTGTTATTGCTTAACATTGCCATAGTTTTATGGAATATCCGTGTTGTCCTTGCCGATGATGTTGTTGTTTTTGCAGTTGTTGCCTTTACTGGTTCCTGGACTGGCATCGTTTTTGAAATGTGTGCATATTGTTGGCATAATTGACTGGGTTTTTGTCAATGGTTTTTATTTGTTCACCCGTTTTTTCAGCCGCTAGTCGTAGGCTCCGGGCTCTAATGTGCCATTTGTTGACTGTTTCTATAGGCATAGGCAAATGGGTTCACTGACTAGCCAAGTGACTTGGAATTTGTCGAGCCGTGTTCAGGGAAAAAGAAAAGGCAGTGCAGAATTATGACTTGCAAAGATCTTTATCGCAGGGGGTTATACTTTTTATTAAACGGGGCAATTATAAAGACAAGCGCCTCAATAATACAAATAAATAAATGGTTTACCAATTAAAAGTAAAAAAAGTAAATATGTACAATAAAATAGAGAGTACCACGAATAAGTAACGAGATAATTCTTTAGAATATGTATATAATGGGGTGTTTGTAATAATAATAACCCGCACAATTATGTCTTGAGAATATTAACGAAGATAGTATCTTAACGTCCTTAATCGTTTTTAGCACTCCAAGTTTTTTCCTTCTTTCCTTTTTTTGCGGTCTGTTCAGCTCAGCTTGGAAAAACTAAACTTTTCCCCCCACAGAAACCCATCCACATAAGTAGAGACACTCTCCGCCGACAATCTCTCAATAAACACTTGCACAGCTCTTAATTACCCAATGCAAACTTGCTCAAGTAACACAACTTGTCCCTGAGGTCTATGTGTGTATGGGTGGGTGTGACTGCTGGCATTTCCCATTTACCAGGTGAGTCTGCTCCTCTGACCCATCGCACCTGCACCTGCACCCACATCCTGTTGCGTCCTTCGCCTTCAGTTCTTCAGCCTTTTTTCCCAGGCGCTGGAGAACTTCGCTTGACTGGCTGTCATACAAGTTTGTCAGCTTGTTTGGCTGCGTGTTAAACAAAAACGTGGCAACAACTTTCAAGTCAAAGTTTTCATGACTCTTTTGTCAATTACCGTTAGTTAGCAAGCAGGTGGCGTGGGAGGGGCTCTAGAGTTCTATAGTTCCACAGTTCCAGAGTTTTCTCTGCTTAAGACTGTGGCCACGCATTAGGCCATTGACAAGGCGATTGGAAATGTCATGGGCTGAGATCTTTCTGTGTCTCTGTATTTGAATCTCCTTGTCCCGATGCACTGGAAAAATAGTTAAATAGTAAAAAAAATACCATACAAAAATGTAAAAAATAAATCCCACTAAAAAGTTGTCCTAGAAATATATTACCCGGATTCTGGAATCGGAATCTGGAGAGTTAATACATCAAAAAATCATCTGAATTATGTTTTGAGTTGGTATTTTTGTTCAGTGCTATTTTACTTAACGCTTCCCCCAATTAATTCCCATCTAAGCCCAACTTGGGCTATTCGTTTTGCGTAACCCAAGCAGATAGATGGAAGTTCCCCTGTGTGTGTGTGTGTGTGTGTGTGTGCGTTCCTGGCTAATCCATCATTATTGATTGGCATTAAGTTGGGCTCGGTGTGTGTCCTGGCATTATGTAATGGCCTTCGAATTAATGAGCATTTATTTATGGCAGAGCAGTGTCGGGAAATCCCCCAAAACGAACTGGCTTAGTGGGCAAATATGCGAGCATTTTAATTAAAACCCAACTAACCACATGAAACGACCGCTATATATCTGCCATCTCACTCTATATTCAACTGTCTTTCTCTTTCTGTTTAATTGCAGTTATCACTTGGAGAGGCAAGGACACGTCTAAGCCTCAGGATGCGAGGCAAAAGGATTTGAAATTACATTTTTAATGCAGAGTGGGCAAGAAAAAGAGCGCGAAATGAGCAACACGTGCGCGTTTTATTTTAAATATTTATAAACAAGCACAGGCACACACAACCATATACATATATAGGTGACCAAAGTTAAGCCTCGTCAAATTCTATTAAAAATTCATCTTAACGGTTATGCGTTCTGCACAAACAGCCAACGGAGCAGCTAAGGAGCCGGGCAGAAAATGTTTGTAAATATTAAAATGAATTTATGTGCAGCGCAAAAGTTTTTAATTAAGTGAAAAGCGAAAACACGAGTGGAAACGATAAAAACCAACACCGCCACCGAAAAAAAGAATCATTGAGAGAGTGAATTAGAGCAACGAGCTTAAATATTTGAAGCGATGTTCGAGCAGGCCGAGCCCATTTTATTTGCATACTTAATGCCAATGCCCGAGCAGTGAGTGCCGCAATCGAGCCAAGTGCAGAATACCAACTAGTCAGTAATCACCAGTAATCGGCCAATCGGATCTGGAGCAACCATGTCCATCACCGTCTCATTCCTCATCTGCCTGATCATTGGGGTCATAACCTACGCGAGTTCGCACGAGCATGCCGATGGCTTTAAGCCAGGTAAGTTTCCATCCACAGCTGAACCCAAAAAAAAACTTGATGTGAAGCGGTGATCAATTTGATATTATGTGGTATTAATTTTGACTTGACATGCGGCATCTCAATTCGATATGGTCGAAACGTAAATAACAAGATCTAAGAAAACCAGTTTCTAATGTGACTTTCTCGCTCCCCCTCATGTAACTTTAAGCCCTATCTCGCTATATCAATAGAGAGAATTCGGAAAAATGATATTACTTAATATACATTGCAGTATCAATACCAGTATTGCATGGTAAAAACGATATGCGTATAAGTACTAGAAATTTACCATGCGCTTATCGATTGAATCCCGGCGTGTTTTTCTTGTGTGATAATTAAAAATTATTTTTTTGTGTGCTGCGACTGGTATATTTTATTTACAATTGTTTACCCTGCCATTTGGCGTATTTGCTCGGGTTCCATTTCATTTGTAATGGCAATTTTTCATATCCGCATTGTTTACACAAATTTTTTCCAACCTTCAGCGAGGCTTTAAAGCGGCAGAGTTTTTGTTTTCCAACTTTTGTCTTACGCAAAGGACAAATAAAATTTAATTATGCAGCAAAAGTTATACACTTTTAATTAGTCGTTTGAGACTTTGTTTCGAAGGAGCCGAATTCAAGTCCCGGAAAAGTCTTCCGAGAGATAAGGTTTATTTAGCTAATTAGGCAGAAGACCGAACATTTTTGTAATGAAATTTAAATGCAAATATTCTGATGTCTACATGTGTTATTGAAATCATCCGAGTTTTCCCTTTAACAATTTATTCATTTCCCCCGACGCGCTGCCCTTAATTGAACATTTAAATCCATTGTTTGAAGTTCAGTACATATTTTTTCCGACCAAACATTTAAAAATGTGGTCAGGCGATTTTTTTATTCCAAATGTGTCGTTTGCATAAACGAACAAAAGTTTTTGCCCAGCGCGAGAGGTGGAAATGTTTAAATTAATACGGAAAAGAAAGAAATAAAATTTTGCAATTTTTACAACTTCATTATGGATATTTTGTTGCCGTAGCTTTTTTCCTGGGCGACATGTGCGCCCACTTCCTTCCTCTCCGCGCCATCCAGTAGTAATAAACGCCAATGTTGGCCACAAATCCACAAAAGCGTCACCTGTGTCACCTCGGCTGCTCCTGGACGCCGGAATGAATGGAGGATGCTGGGCAGCTGGTCCCGCTCCCTGCGGTGGCTACTTTGGCTCACTGTTTCGCAGCCTCGAAAAAAATGCATAAATTCTCATTTTTATGTGTCTGCGTTGGACTTTACATTAGCTTGGCCACCGATGCTGCTGCTCTCGCCCGCTGATTATCCCCGGAGAGCTATAAAAAATATATAACATCGCACTATATATAGTATAGTAAATATATATGTAGGAATGTTGCTATTTTACTGGATATGTGTGTACAAAATTTATTTTCCTGTCCATTTTGGGCCAGGGGAATTCGCCCGGCGTTGGCATGCGAAATTGAGTTAAAACCTGAACATTATCATATTGCACAGAGCGGGGTGAAGAGTAGAGGTCGCTGCTCGAGGATTTCTCTTCGCAAGGTTAACTTTATTTTATGGGTATAAATTATCGATCATTTGCGTTATGATGCAGCGTTTTAAAAACGTGTTAGACACATCTGGCACATAAATTACGTAAGGGAAAATTGGAGGCGGAGGCGGGGAGCTTTAATTTCATTAACCAACACTTGATGGCGATGCGCTTGGAGCTTCAAAGCGCCGCCGCTTACATAATAATTAGTAAAATAAATTTCACCTAAATACACAGAGCGAGAAAAAGGCAGCATCCCTGAGAAAACAAACCATCTTTCAGTGGTCCACCCCCTGCCACACTTCCTCCCACTTCTGTGCTTCCATCTCCAGGAAGGTGCGCCAAATGGCCACGTCAAACGCACGTTCACGACCCACTTACTCTGGGTCCTTTTCGCCGGCGAAGGACAACATCGTTGGCAAATTATTTCCCATCATTTTTCACGCAAAAAAGAGCAAGCGAAAATTTTAGCAAGATGGAGATACATGCAGAGTGGCGCGGCGCAGCAGGACAGCAGCCAGTTGTCAACGGGCGTCGATGTCCGGGAAGAATAATACGAGCAGAGCGGCAGGACGACGATGTCCTTGCTCGACTGAAATCTAATTAAAGCCCGCCGAACGTGCAGTTCAGCGAGTGCAGTTAACGGCTCCGGCTGAATGCTTTGGCAAAACAGACGGCCAGACAATGGCAAATGTTTTGGTAAGCAAAGCGGCCAGATAACGTGGTCATTGAAATGCTGCGGAGAGGTTAAGAGGGCCATTAAGAGACTGGCTTTGCTTTCAAATGAAATCTGGAAACTAGGAAATACAGTTTTTAAGCTGGTTTCGTAGCTGCTAGACTAAGATTTGCATTACAATAAAGATTTAAAATATTTTTGGTTAGTTGTTTTTAAATGGAAAATACTTTAGTTTAGTTACCAGAAGTAAAACAAAGTAAATTTCATCTAAACAATTTTGTTAAATTTATTGTAAGACTCATTACGTATTACAAGGTGTTAAACTCTATAGAGTTTATATAGAAATATCTATAATTCTATACTCATCATAAATAGAAAATCAAGTCATTTTGTTATATTTTTTCGAAACTCTATGCATTTCGTCGTTATTTCTTTTGTTTTAAAAGAACAGGAAAACCAGTATTTTAGTAAATATTTAAGCTGGTGAAAACATGCCCTTTCATCACACATTTTCGAGAGCTTAGATCCTATTCGACCCCCAGCTTGGCTGCCAATACAAGCGATTTCTAATTCAATTTCGGTGACAGCACATAAATAAAAGAAACATTTTGAGCAGCAGCAGTCAAAAGCAAAGCAAACCGACGAAAAAACTGTAAAAGCAATTCCTTGCCAAAAACGAGGGAGAAAAGTGTAAAGAAAAATACAGAAGAAAAAGGCGCACAAATGTCAGTTTTCCCAGGACTCGACCGGCCGCAACTACAACTGCCACTACAAAAATATCCCTCTGAGTTTGTGTTTCCGTTTCTGTTTGTGTGTGTAGTGGTGCCCTAACAACATTTCGAAGAATCGTTTACCAATTTTTCTGACTGCTGCAAATCAAAAACGAGAAACGACAGAAAATTTCTCTGCAAGCCAGGAGCTGGAAAAAAACTTTTTAAATTAACTAAAAAACAGCAAACACAAAGGAGGGGTTTATTTTTCGGTGGGGGTGGGTGGGACACGTTGTCGCTGGTGTTGGCATTCGGTTTGAGTATTTTAGAGCAAAGTGGAAAACTTTTAGTGGCATGTTTACAAAATAAACTTCAGCTTGCAAAATGGGCAGAAATAAAGAAAAATGCTGATTGCTACCAACAACACAGTGTGGCCGAAAAAAATGATTATGATGCGTGGGTGGTGTGCGGCGGGTGAGTAGCTCTTATGTATCAGCTGACACACATTTTCGGGGCAAGGTAAGAACAACGGAACCCGGCTTTGCCAACTTTTGTTTGGTTTGTTGTCACTGTCACTGTGTGTAGGCCAGAAAAGTTTTTTACACCAGTTTTTTATTCTGCTCATGTTCTTTTTTTCGTTTTTCAGAGGTTTTTCCATGTCGCCAATGTTTTTGTTGCTCGTGCTTTTTCTGCTGACAGTTGGGCAAACAAAGCATAATTTTTAATCTGGCCGAGCAAACATTGTTACATATGCGACACACACTCACATTCTCACAGTGCCCCTCCCCCTCCAAAAAAAAAACGAAAAAATACTGAAAACTCCACCTGAACGTGGCTTTTAGCTTGATTGTTGATGGGCCACAGCAAAAGCAACAGCGGCAGCATCAAAAAAGGAGAAAATTATGTTTATTTGGCTTTGGCCCCGATTTGTTGCGCATACGCAGCGTATGACGCCGTACGTGACAATATCATCAAGAGGGGTTCCGGGAATCTGTTGATTTAGCGTTTTTCAACTCTGTGCTTTCATGAAATGATTTATTTCCACACAGGCAAAACTAATTAACAACGCGGCTAAAAGGTTAAAATGTACCCAAAATGATATGTTGGAATATTGGTACATTTTCAAATATTTTAATTAATAGATTAATGAACTTTTTAGAACCATCGTATTAAAAATAAAAATTCCATATGTTCTTTTTCCCCCGAACTAAAATTAATGAACCTGTCTGCGGATCGGTAATGTCAAATATGACAGTTATTGGCGTCATTTAGGCGAGAAGCCCTACCGGCTTATTAATGCATAATATGCGGTGCTCCGAGGGGCTGTTGAGATTTTGATTTTTTGCCGTCTGCAGCTGACATTTAATGACCACAGACAACACACCACACACACATGTTATTTGCGGTTCGGCGTTTAAAATTCAAGTTCAGGGCGGGCGGCCCCTTTTGACAGACAGAAGAACAGCTGCGAGTGACAGGCGGACTGAGACTGGTTGGTGGGGTGTGCGGACCCTTGTCTAGACTCTTCCAAAAACGCCCATTCAGGCATGACAAATGGGTCCGGTAGCTGGTGGTTGGTAGCTGGCGAATACCAAGCTTCGAACGGGTTGTTTGCAAATTTCTTAACACGAAATTAGTCGCCATAAACAAATGGCAAACAAACAAACTGCAGCAGACGAGACAGTTAGTTGAGTCTAATCGAAAGCAAATAAAATGCATGCCATACCTGCATGCCATAAACTGTCACTTGCATTGTGCCAAAGACACTCACGCAGACAGGACACACTGAAAATAAAATATTGATTTAAGATTTTATTGATAATAAATTTTTTTTGTTTTTAAATCTAAAAATTGCATTTACTTAAATTTTTGCAATAATGGCTAGAAATTATATTTCCTGTTTAACATTTATTGTTTTTCGTTAAAATTTTTTATTCAAATACTAATTTATTACAAATTTTTAGATTTTATTTATTTATATTTATTTTTAATGTTATTATTTCATTTATTATTTATATTATTTATTTTCTTTAATAATTTTGAACTTATGTAGA